AACACTTCCTTTAAAAAGATCATTGGGTTGTTAATTTACTATTGAGGACCTATCACATGGTACACACTCCATTAGACACATTGATAAATAAGATATATGGTCTATAATTTTGTAAGAAGACTACTGTGATGATGTAATCAGAATCCCCATGTCATTTTGGCCTTTTGACTTTCCAGTGTCATATCCTGTCCCTTCTTTACTTGCAGCCTGAGTTGTAGTCATAAAGAGTACTTGTAGTTTCCTTGTACTTGCTGTTCTATCTTCTGGAATATTGTTTGCTTCCCTCCTTGCCTGTTGAGCCCCAACTTAGCCCTAGGCCCCAGTGTCCTGACTTTCCCAGGCAAAGTTAACTATGGGCTTTCACTATGACCCTCTTTTGGGGCCAAGTTCAGCTCTACTATAGTTGGTTACTTGTGTTATTTTCCCCCAGGAAACTGAACTACTGGAGGGTAGGGATGTTTTATTCATTTCTGTTTCTCTAGCTGTCATACAGTGCCTGGCACAAAGATAGCACTTAAAATACATACTTAGTGGATAAGCAAATGGAAGTGCTATGAAGGTATGTTGTAATGAGAGCATTTTCTACATAGTATCTCCGCTGATCTTTCTACCCTTTCATTTCATATATACCTTTAAAAAGCAGCCATCTAACCTCCAAAGCAAACCAAAGACAGACTATTTTGCCAATAGGGAGGGAGAGTTAGGCTTTGTTAAATATGAGAGGGGAAGGGAATTTGGGAGGATAATTTAGGTTTCCCCAATATTTCCCCTCGACACCTTGGAGAATTATGTTCCATTTAAGAAATATAACAGCTAAGACTGAATTATATTTGTTTTTTCATCCTTTTCTTAATTAGCAGTATTTTCTTAGACAATTAGGTAAAGTGATTTTGTTTGCCTTTTGGCCAGCAGGTAATGACCCCAGTTTCTTTGATCAAGAAGACACAATGTCTAGTATAGTCCATTTGTGGTCTACAAAAGCTTAAAGGATTAGAGTCAAGTTTCAACATGTCTCAAATATTCACGAGGCAAATTAGGTTTTCCATCCATGTGGAATATGTATTTATTTATAAAAATTTTTTGAATTATGTTCACTTTAATCATGTTTGTAAAGTTATTTAAAAATTTTTAGCTTGCTCTAAATCTTGTAAATATATCCACACTCAAAATTGTTCAGAAAGCTCTGCTTTATAAAGAGACCTGATTGTATATTACAGGTGTAAGTCAGTCCTAAAGTCAGACAGACCTTGGTTTGATTCCTGGTTATGTCTTTTCCTAACCTGGTATCCTTGGGCACATTACTCAATCTTGCAATACCTCAATTCCTGCATTTTAAATACTAAATTTAATTCTTAATTCTTTAGGTTGCTAGGGGATTGGATCAGATTCTGAATATAAGGAGCTTACCACAAGACTTAGCATATTGTAAGCTTTTAATGAATGCTAGCCATTATTGTAACATAAGGTTTCTTTATTGTGAGATAAAAGGATTTTTCTCCTTGGCATGTAGACTTTTTATTTCTTTCAAATATCCAGAACTTAATGGATTTCCCCCAATCATGACTGGAAAGAAGAGTATTTTTTTCAACATTTTAATAATAGATAAGTTTTAGGAAAGTAAGGGCTTGTGTGATGAGAACTTGGCAGTGAAGGTTAACCTGTGGGATGCTGTAGTCCTGGGAGAACCCACCCCATGAACTTCCCTAACACTCTCAGTGTTCTTTCTTTTGCAAGTTCTTACCTTTGCTGCTGCTGCAGATGGAGCAGGAAATGTTGCTGTGCTATGAAGTACCTCAGTGCTCTTTTACTACTCTGGTAAGAGTGAGATTTAAGTATCTTTGAGGCAGACTAAGTTGTAATTCCTGTGGGCAAGGACGTTATTTTGCAAACCATATTAAATGTCAAATATGTGTAAGTGCTTAACACATTTTTAACAACCAAATGTGTGATTTTGCATTTTATATAATTATAATAACACTTGTTCAGAGACCAAAATTGGGGCATATAGTACAACAAAAGATTTAAAATATTTTCAGATATTTACTAATCAGGCATAAAGCACAATAAATTTCAGTAATTTGTGGGAAAATGGATGCACTTTAAGATCATAATTCTAAAACACTAATCTGACTGGAAGAGAGGTTAGGTAGAACTGTTGAAGACATTGGCGTAGGAAAAGATTTCATGAACAAAACCTCAGTCGCATGTGAAATAGCACAAAGAATCAACAAGTGGGATCTCATCTTATTAAAAAGCTTCTGCACAGCAAGAGAAACTACCAACAGCAGGAAGAGACAACCCACAATGTGGGAAAAAATTTTCACCAGCTGTTCCTCAGATGAAGGTCTACTATATCTAGAATCTATAAAGATCTTAAACAAATCAGCCTTCCCAAATTTAAAGACCCAATCCAAAAATGGGCATCTGAAAGCAAAAGACATTTCTGAGACAAAGCAGTAGAAGCAGCAAATAAACATGAAAAAATGTTCAACATCACTGGTCATTCAAGAGATGCAGATGAAAACAACACTGAGATTCCACCTCATCCCAGTAAAAATGGCTGCTATCATGAAATCAACCAATAACAAATGCTGGCAGAACTGTGGGGAAAGAGGAACCCTGCTCCACTATTGGTGGAAGTGCAGACTGGTGCAACCACTGTGGAAATCAGTGTGGAAAGACATAAAAAAACTAGTACTAGAGGTCCCATTTGACCCAGCTATTCCCCTGCTGGGTATCTTCCCAAATGAATTAAAAGAATCATACCACAGCGATATATGTGCACCCATGTTTATAGCGGCACAGTTCATAATAGCTAAAGCTTGGAAACAGCCCAAGTGCCCATCAACTGGAGACTGGATAAAGAAAATGTGGTTTTTAATAAAATGGAGTACTACTCAGACATAAAGAATGAGAAGCTAGAGACATTTATAGCTAAGTGGATGCACACTGAGGCCATACTTTCAAGTGAAATAAATAGGACACACATGTGTAAATACTGAATAGTTTCTTTGGTGTGAGAAACTGGCAGTGTGGATCAAAATGTATAATAGATAATGTGAAATAGGAAGAAAAGGTCCAAAGGGGAAGGGGAAGTGGGAGGGGTAGGGGAGAGGAATAAATATGAGAAAAATGAAAAAATGGAAACAAAGTCTTTGTAAATAGAGAAGGGTGGAGGGGTTTAAGGGAGGGTAGGGGAATGGGGAAAAAATAACCAAGATATATTATGTAAAGGTACAAATTCCCAATAATGAATGGCAGCATACTGTATACCTAAAATGTACCAATAAAATTAATGAAAAAAGATAATTCTAAGTGAAATAAATCAGACACAGAAGTTAAATATCTCACACTTTCCCTTATATGAGAAACCCAAAGTATAAATAATTTAAAGAGCAAAATAAAAGATGGATTATAGGAAACAGGGATGTAGACCTTTTGCAGATGGAAAGGGGATCCTGGAATGGAGGGAGAGGGAAGGAAGAGAAGGGAAGGGGAAGTAAAAAGGATTAAGATATGATATGCATATGTACCAACTCTCCACGATGAATGTATTTATTACGTATTGCAAATGTGTACTAATAAAAATTTTTTAAAAATTGTAATTTTTCATCTGGAAATAGTTTTCTACCCACAAAAGTGTTGCCATAAGACACAAATCTTATGTAGTTATTATCCATCTTTCCTTGAAGTTAGCATCTTACAGTACTTTGGTAAAGTAAGAAATGAATATTTGTATAATATTATCAATAAACTATACACTTGGTTAAGATTTCACTAGTTTTATTCTTTTAAGAGATATAGTCATGTTATGTTTTCCAGGTAGGTCCAGAACTCTGGGCTCCAATGGCCCTCCTGCCTGAGCCTCCCAAGTAGTTTGGGACACAAGTGCAGGCTTCCATACATGGCCCACCACCTTTTTCCCCAAGGATGTCCTTATTCTGTCTTGGGGTCCAACACAAGATATTATATTACATTTAGTTGTCCTGGCCTTTAGTCTCCTCTTATCTGTGATAATCTTCTTTTATAACCTTGACTGGTGATGTTAATCTGGACCAGATAGAATCTGCCAGATCATTGTACTGTAAAATTTTTTCCCCTTTGTAATTGTAGAACTTGCTTGCAACAACTAATTCTTCTTTTTCAATTTTAATGTTTTGATTAGTATATGTTCACGGTGCATAATGATTACATTGTTTGTGGGGAGTTGGTACATGTATGTATCACATCTTTCCCTCTCCCATTCATTTCTTGGTCCCCTTCCCCTTTGTAAAAGTTCTATCTTGCTGTTTCCCATTATCTATCTTTTATTTTGCTCTTTATATTTTGGGTTTTGCATATAAGAGAACCATTTAAACTTGTGCATCTGATTTATTTCATGTAACATTATGGTCTCAAGGTGTCTCTACTTTTCTACAAATGACTCAAGTTTATCATTCTTTAGGGTTGAGTAGTACTTCATTGTGTATGATTTCCATGGAAGAAGAAAATGCCAACCAGTCAAAGATCAAGTCTTTTGTAAAAGTTTGTAACAACAATTATGTCATGCCCTGATGAATAAAACTGTCATCTAACAAGATGTCTTCAGAGACCCTGCTTGTCTTATATAATCTTATAAATCTGGCTTCCCAGTAGGTATTCCTACTGAGAAAAAATATACTGACTAGGAGACTCAAGTTATCCAATTGGGGCTGCAGTTTATTTTTCATGTTTACTGTTCAATCCCTTTGAATTTTTCAAGTGTGGTGAATTTTTAAGAAACAAATTATCCTAGCATAAAGTGATAATATTGATTGTCAAACATTTAGAGTTGATAACAAGACCCCTTGTTGACATCTCCAATATACAGACAGCCTGCAAAGATTAAAAGAAATAGCTCTATTACTTATAAAGATATTATTAACCATAAAAGTTTTATACCATTGTACAAATTTAATAGAATTTATTAGGAATTTAAGAAAACAAAGTTTTAAACAACAGCTAATACATAATTTGAATAACAAAATAGTCTCTCTTATTTTAAATAAAATGACTTTATAACCAGTAACATGCTTGCTGAAAATAATGAAGTATTCCATCCATTAAAAATGTATTTACCAACAAAATACATAATAATGATTTGTAGCATAAATGTAAATTAGATAATTTATCTCTGTTACCTATATTATGATTTATTTTATGTTTATAGTGTTTTAAATCATTAATAACTGCAGAAATATATGATTCATTTACAGAAGATTATCAGAAATAGTGATTCCACTAAACAGCTGCCGTCATATGTCATCAGAATTTTCTTTGCAATTTGGATCCAACATCAGGAGATGGACTGGCCTTTGGTTGGCTGTTCTGTAACATAGGTTCAGAACGTTCTTTTATTGTAGTATTCACAGACTACAGGTGAACCGGTTTACAGATTATAGATTTTAATAAGACTAAATTCACAATTCAAATTCTTTAATGCTACACATACATACATCTCAACAAAAATGATTACCATTGTATGTAAGGCATCATATTAACTATAATTCACTTTTTGCTGTTGGTAATCTTTTCTTAGTGCTTTCTATCATCTGCTGTGATAACATTTAATAATTTTATTTTGTATAGGAACCACTTTGAACCTGTGTAAGACTCTGTGAGTGTTTAACAATATTTTGGGTTAAAGAAGTAAGTGGCTTGGGAGGTAATTGTTAAAAGTTCATTAAATTTATTTTATTTTAAAGTAAATGCAACACTCTAAAATGAAAATGTGTCTAAGATTTGTAAATTTTTGTATTAAAATTATACTCTAAACAATGATAGGGATCTTGAGGTTGTACTGCAGGAACTCTCATAACTGTTTAACTTGCATGTTGCCTCTGTGAGCATGGAAGCTGCTTTCTCCTTTTCTAGCTGCAACCCTAGCAGAGCACCTGACAGGTGGGAAGAACCCAAGCAATGTCTGTTCAGTGAAGAAAGAGACTAATACAGTAACTTGTACAAAGTGACAGTCAGGCTGCGTGGTTGCCAAAAGCAGGAAATTCTAAATTTTGGGCAGAATAAAGCTTGGAACTGAAAAGTTTTCCCAGATGGACAACACAGAGATCAAGTCCTGAAGAGGAGGTACAGGACAGCAGATAAAAGAACATGTCTCGTGAGGCAGCGGGGATGGTGTGGGCCCCAGACACACCCGAGGACTTCCAGGGAGACTCGCCAATCGCGCAACAAAATGCAAGTTATGAGCCAGGGAGCAACTGGAGGAGAGGCTGAAAAGGGCTCAAATGCTCCTCTCTGGAGTTTAAATTTTATCTTTCAGGTGACAACTAATCATTGAAGATTAATTTTAAGCAGGAAACTAATATATTCATGCTTTATATTAAAGAAATTATTCGGATGTGGAAGATGTGTTGGAGAGAGCAAATCTGGAGGCGGTTATACTGGTCCAGATGAAAACTCTTCAAAAAATTAAAATAATGATGATTACAATTGTTAGTTTTTCAAACTCAGTGCCCTCATATATGTTAGGCAAGTGCTCTACCACTGAGCTACATCCTCAGCACCATGATTAATATTTTAATTATACATATTTATGGGGTATAGTGCAGTAATTCAACATATGTATACAATTTGTAATGGTAGTTAGCATTTCCATCCTTGAACTTCTTTTTATTTTGTGGTACTGTGTATTTAAACCAAGGCCTTCACATACAAGATAAGCACTCCACTACTGAACTGCACCCCTAGCTCTCCTCAAACTTACATGCTTTCCATTAACATATAATAATTGTACATGTTTTAGGGAACAGTCTATTATTTCAACACATATATACAATATATACTGATTAAAGCAGGGTAATTAATATTTCCTTCTCATCAATACTTTGTATTTAGAGCCTCCAAACTCCTTTCTTCTAGCTATTCATAAAATATATAATAGGCTACCGGGAACATAACAAATTCATTAATTACAACACTAATCAGTAAGAATGGAGAGGAGTGTTTGGATTTGTGGTGTATTTAGTAAACATAATAAGGGAGATTTCTTCCATATTACTATGGGACAATATGAAGCCTGGTTAGATAGAGAAATGTGGAGGACGATAGTGGCATTAATTGAAATAATTTTAAAAAGTAAGACAGATTTTGTGAGGGAAAGTATAAATCTTGGCTCTGCCACTGAACAGCTCTGAGACAGGAAAATTACTTGATGGCCTTAGCTAAGAAGATTAACTAAGAGAATATGAGCTAGGAATGGGGAAAAAATAAGAACCAAGATGCATCAATGTTGATTTCCTAAAATGAGGGGAGAATTGTTCCTTCTTTTTTCTGCTTTAAGTGTTTGATATAATTTATCAGTTAAAATGTTTATGAGCCTGCTGTTGTCATATAGGTAGGTTTTCAAGCTAGGAATATACTTTCTTTAATAGGTGCTATTCAAATTTTATATTTCCTCCAGAGTTAGTTTCATTAATTTGTCTTCTAAGTTACTTCTTAGAAGTTGTCAAATTTATTTCAAAAAAGATTTTTGTAATATGCTTTCTATATCCTTTTAAATTCTGTAAAATCTGTGGTAATGTCTCCTAGATCTTAATATTGTAATTTAAAAAATATATAACTGATATTGTGTAACAGGAAGAAAAGGTCTAAAAGAGCAGGGGAATTGGGAGGGGTAGGGGAAGGGAAAAAAAAAGGGAAAGGAAAAAATATGAGAAGAGGAAAAAAATGGAAACAAGGTCTTTGCAAATAGGGAAGGGTGGAGGGCGTGAAGGGAGGGCAAGGGAAGGGGGAAAAAAATAAGAACCAAGAGACTCATGTAATGCTACAAGATCCCAATGATGAATGTAACTGTATTTTATACCTAAAATGTACCAATAAAGTTAATGGGGGAAAAAAAAGAACCAAGATGCATTATGTAAAGGTACAATTCCCAATGAAAAATGTAATTGTGTTGTATACCTAAAATGTACCAATAAAAGAATTTAACAACAACAACAACAAAAAGAATATGAGGGAAACCATCTGGAACAGCACTATTCAATGGTGGGCACTCACTGAATAAATTTCATTTCTTCTTTCCAATTATATCTCAACAATATCTATTTGGCATTATATTGTACTAATTTATTAAATATTAACAATAAAGGGCTTTGGAAGCACTCTCGAAGCAGTGCTACTTTTATGGAGTAAGAAACCCTGTTTCAGAATATTAAAAAAATTTTCAGCTTCAAGTAAATTATTGCATTTTATGACAGCATGAAAAAGACAGATAATTTACCTATTCAAAAATCATGCATAAAAAATTCATAAGTTAGTGAGACATAGTGGCACATGCTTGCAACTCCAGCACTTGAGAGGCTGTGGCAGGAGGATTGTGAGTTAGAGTCTAGTCTAGAATAACTAACAAGACCTGTCTGAAAAAAAAACATAAGTCAATCAATATTTTCTATATATTTAGTATGTGCTAGTTTCTATAAAGCAGATATGTCACTGAAAAACAATTTTGGGCCCAAGAAGATTTTCCACTTAGAAAGACAACTAATGGGCCGGGGATTTAGCTCAGTGGTACCGCACCTGCCTTGCAAGCACAAGGTCCTGAGTTTGATCCCTGGTACCAAAAAGAAAGAAAAAGAAAGAAAGAAAGAAAGAAAGAAAGAAAGAAAGACAGACAGACAACTAACAAAAATATCTGTGTAATATATATACAAAATGTGAGACACTACAATACCAAGTTCATAGGAGGGTGAGAACATCACGAAGTGAATTTGTTATAGAAGACTTCATAGAGGAAGTGATATAAAGTTGATGCTTAGATGAATTTGGAAAACAAAGCAAAAAGACACTAAAATACTAAAATGCAGTTTGGAATTGAATGTAAGTATCATTGGAAAAAAAGAGGCAGAACAGAATATTGCAAACTTGATGAATAATGTATTAAATATTCTTGGATGGGATGGAAATTCATAGTGTAGTGAGAAAAGGAAAAGAAAAGAGGACTACAAAGGTGGTTAAAATGATTCCTAATTTTTAGAAGAGAAAGTTATACTTCAACTTATGTAATTTCATTTAAATACTTAAGTGTAAATCCTATATACTTAAATTTTATTGAAGTGTTTTAAGGAATGTTACATTTTGGGGGGGGACAATTAAATAAGAGGATCAGAACTGTGTTAATAATAAAAATCCAACCAAGCATGTATTTAGCATGTACTGTATTATAGGCACTGTTTTAAGCGCTTTACTTGGATGGTAATCTTACATAATACTCTCAGGTACTCTATGGGATAAATGCTATATATTAGGATGACTATAAGTATCCAGTGAAGGTATGGGGGGAGGTTTCAGTTTATTATTAATTATTATTGTTATTATTCTGAAATCTCAGTCTTGCACTTGCTCTAAACAATGGTAGGATACTGGTCACTCATGTTACAAAGGGTATTTTACTTGAAAATAAAGGCATTTTGGTTCAAAAATATTTCCCTCACCCAAGCAAGGGTTAGTGTCTGAAATTTTACTGTTAGAAATACACCATGCATTGTGGCACATACTTGTAGTCTCAGCTCCCAAGAGGTTGAGTGAGATAGGAGTAAGAGGTCTATGCTATCTTGGATCACGTATTGAGTTCAAGACCAGACTAGACTATAGAGTGAGATTCTGTCTCAAGAAACAAAAAAATTCTTTTCATATATTGTCTTTAAATTATTTAAGTGGTTTTCCATGTTTTATTCTGAAAAATCATTTAAAAAGATTTATCCTGAAAACCTTGGCATAAATGAATATATCAGTTCACCTCCCTGCCTGAAAGGAGAAATCCAAATCAACACAACTAAATATCATGGGAGAAAAGAAAAAGAAGGAATGACAGGATAGAGAAAGAGCATCACTCCAATAAAAGTGTGCATGTGTTGAGGTGGGGTAGTGGTAGTTAATCGTGGGTTGGGGAGTGGATCAGAAAAATGAAATAGTCACAGAGCACATTTTATTTAGACAACTGGGGAACTGTGGAATGTGTATATCACATAATACTATTGCATTAGTGTTAAATTTCTTGGTTATAATAATAGTGTTGCAATTATACAGAGGAATGTGTTTCTTCTTAAGGGCATGTATGCAGAAATATTTACAGGGGAAATATGATATTTATAAATATACTTTCAAACAGTTGATAAAACTTATCTTTCTCTGTTTATACCTACTTATCTCTATTCTATTTATTTGTCTGTCCACTTATAAAGCAAGTAAGGCAAATTTTCAACAACTGGTTAATTCAAGTGAAGAGTACAGGAACATAGAAATAACAGTCAAATGGGTAGACAACAATAAAATGTCCAAATCCTCATGTAGGATATGGCAAAAAAGCAAATTTGGTATTAGCTCTTTAATCAAGCAGTTAATAATTTTGTGATTTTTATACCATTTCCCCTGAAAATAAATGGAAGATTCTGACCTGTGTAAATGATGATATTAAAATGAAGGAGTCTGATATATCTGAAGATAAATACTAAAGAAAACTAATGATTACCAACTGTCATGAGTAAAAAAGATGTAGGATAAAAAAATTAAAAACCTACCAGTGATCCCCAATCCACACTTTTAAGTGTTAGATAATCTAGTAATATAATTACATAGTACACTGATATGCACAACAATTTCCTAATTTTTCCCTCCAGAATAATATTTAGTATTCATGCTGTGTGGTTAATGCATTGTTTTTAACTTGTACAGAATAGTGATCTCAGTCACTACAGGTATTTTCTTACTAATGTGAAATAAGAATTATAGTAATTAATAATAAATGTCAGAACTTACATAAATTGTCATAGTCAAATTTCAGGCACAGAAAAATTATCACTGTAAAATTATCGAACAATTCAGATGAAAAATTTGAGAAAAAATGAACTAGTATGTAAAAGTAGCCATGAAGACCTCAGGAATTAAAGTGACTGTTGACAACAGTTATGTCTAAAAAGAACAACATCAAAAATGCCAAAGGGCACTTTGTAGAACCCTATGCTGAGAGGTAAGTAAGATTCAGGAGGGCAGAGAAAGCCTCCTTCTCACTCACTGCTATTCATTATCATAGCCAGAGCATAACAAGAACCTGAAATATAAGTAAGAAACATTTTACTTTATTTATATAATAGCAAGTAATAAGAAATGTACTATTTTTACATAATTGTATTTTTTCTTTTCAAAATTTCAGAACCGAGGGCACATGGTGAAAAACATGGTAAGCATCCAGTTTAATTCCCCAAAATATTTCTCTGGTGAATACCTAAATTACCATGAAAGTACAAGTAGTATCTTAGTTTGTGGACAGCTTTACATAAAACTGAATATGTCTTCTGGTTTCCTCTAGCCAGATAAGAGTTTTTTCCTGTGGTTTCTATAGCTTGTACATCACATAGTCTTACTAAGTATTATGTTTTACTAACTTACTAAGTATAGTTTTTATGTACTATCCATATAGATGCCATTTGCTCTGTTAGACTGCAAATTCTTGAATGCAGGGATTGGTTTTTATGTGTGTCTTTACTAGAATTCAGTGCCCAGCCCCCCCAAAGAATGATTCAAAATAATAATGTTTAGTTTTGAATCTCAATACATAGAAGGTATATGGGGAAAGGCAGAGATTATTACAATTTTCAATTTCCAATTAGGCTACATACATAAAATTATTTGATGATTGATGTCTCCTGTCATGACTGATACAATACTCTGGATGTAATATAAAAATATTTATATTCTGATATTTTTAATGTGAGGATATTTATTTGTAATGAAGCATCCTCAGATAAAAAGTTGGTTGGAGGAGAAAAAATTGTCTAAAAACCAATCTTAAGAAAAACTTATCAACAAAGGGTTCTTCTAGTGATGTGTACATGAAATCATAATGTTTTCTAAAACAAGAAAAGAGGATTTCTTCAAAAACTTACCAGAAGTGCTGTTATTTGTAACATATTTTTGATGGATGGATTTTTGCAAATAGTTTCTTGTACATCTGAAAAATTATACCATAACACAAAAATAATTTAGTTATGTATAGTGAAAGAGTGACTATAGAGTCAAATATTAAATTCTGATTTTTCAAAATATTAAAAAATGAGTAAGAGATTTTTTTCTGTTACTCCTAGAAATAGTCTTTATTAATATAAAACATAAGTCACTTCATTACAATTATACAAAATTTATACTGATAAAAGGGAATTCCTAGTACTTTGACTATTATACAATAAACTTTATTCAAATGTTATGTTCTTCTTCCTTTTCTTCTTTTCTTTTCAATCAAATTATCATTTAGCCTTGGAGCCTTTCAAGGAAAAGATGTTTAGCTATTGTGGTACAAAATTAGAGTAATTTAGTTAATGCTTGCCTTTTCAATATTTAGGCTTTTGTCCATATAGTAAGAAGAATTGAATAAAAGAAAAATCAGGCAGAATCTTTTATGTGAAACATTTAAATACATAGAAGTATCTAATAGAAATAAAAATTCTTCTGAAATATCGATCTGAGTTTATTATCTATCTGCATTATTTTATTTTATTTTATTATTTAAAATTTTTTTCACAGTACTGGGAATCAAACTCAAGGCCTCAAGCTTGCCAGGCCGGCACAGGGCCACTGAGGTACATCCTTGGCTCTTTTCTGCAATATTTTGAATTTTAAAATTATACCTCATTTCTATATTGCTTTTGTGATTGTAGTTTTGAGCCTTTTATAAATATATCATTTTAGATTTAATTTTGATAAAAAATTTAATTTTGATTTTGCAACTAACATGCAAAAAGAGTCTACAAAATATGTAGGCATAGTCTAATAATGATGATGATCTTAATGATAATAATTAAAGGGCAATGTCTGTGCAACCATGTAGACTAAAAATTTCAGCACTGTCACTACTTTAGAAGCTTCCTGGAACTCTCTGCATCCACACTGCCCTGAAGATTGCATTTCTTTCACTTACCTACTATTACTGACTGCATTTCTTTGTCCCTTTAACACATGTATTATTCCCCAAATAATAGTTTATTTTTACCTACTTTTGGACTTCATATAAATGGAATTGTACTGTATTCTCCTGTGATTTTCTTTTGGTCAAATTATATATTTTTAGATTCATCCACAATGATGTGTGTAACTGTAATTTGCTGAATAATAATCTATCACATGAAGATACTGTTTAAGTGTTGACTTTTTATAAACAATGACCTCTATATGTTTATACATATCTCCTGGTGGACTTATACAGAGTTTTTTCTAGGGTATATATCTATAAGTGAAATTGGTGGGTTGTTAGATATGCTCATATTTAACTGAGGTGGTGGTAGTGGCGGCAAAATATTTCCTAATGAGATTGCATCATTTTACTCTTTCACAGGCTTTTAAACTTCTAGCTGAAGTTTAATATGTAAATAGACCTCATTGCTTTAATTTGTATTTTTCTACTAATGAAACAACTATCAATGCAATATCATTTATATTTCTTTTTTTTTTTTGCTGTACCAGGAATTGAACTCAGGACCTTGTGCTTGCCAGGCAGGCATGGCAACACTGAGCCACATCCCGGGCCCTATATTTCCTTTGTTATTAAGTTTCTGTTTTTTCTCTTACGATTTATGAGTTCTTCATATATTTTGAACAAGTCTTTCATTCTATGTGTGTGTGTTTGTGTTTTGCAGTGTTGGGGATTAAACTGAGAGGCCTGGAACATAGTAGGCAAGTTCTGTAGCACTAAGCAATATTATCAGGCCCCTTTATTTGAGACAGGGTCTTAGTAAGTTGTCTAGGTTCATCTCTAACTCATGATCCTCCTGTCTCAATCTCCTGAGTAGTTGGATTTACAGGTGTGCTCCACCACTCTGGGCTTTCTAAGTGTTATAAATATTTTTATCAATTTGTGGCTTATCTTTTTTTGAGTTTAAAAAATAATTTTTACTTTTTCAAAGTTAATATGTGCATTACAGGAAACAAAAACACGAGAAGCAGAGAACAAAGTCATTCACAATCATAAGCAGCTTAGCTGGATGTGTTCTTCTAGGTCCTGTGCATACATATAAGACATGCCATTTTGTGTGACTGAGTTTGTGCAGTGTGTGTCATGCTTTTCCACACATCATAAATATTCACCAATTCAAAATCCCAAAGCTACAAGAGTATTTTTGATAACTAAGAACACACTACACCAACTCAATCTGTTAGAAAAAAATTGTAATCCTGCCTTTCTTGGGAACAAAAATTTCACTGAAGATAAAAATGGCAACAGGCCTGTAGATAGAAGTATTGGCAAAGTCACAATTAAAATACTGCATTTCCTTAATGCTCAACTTAAAATGAGACATAAAGCAACAGAGTACACCAAGCCATGTGTCTGAGAGTTATCAGACCTCTACTATTAAGATATTAGCAAGAAGGCATATTCCCACTGAAATATTAATGTATTTCTACAGTGTAACTAGAAGACACACTTTGATTCCTCTCACCAAAACGTAAATCTGAACACTTTACTCACATCTCTCCCTGTGTGCTTATTTCTGCCCCTCTGTTGCCAGCCTAATGACAAGTCCTGATACATACTGCCTAGAGGTGTCATAATAATTCCAAGTCCAAGATGCATCTTTTCTATCAATTATAACAAAAGGATACTTAAATGTTGCCTAACTCACTACCTCTAGTTTTTAGGGTACATTGTCACCTCCTGACATCTATAAAGCTTAGATGCTGTGCTATATAGTATGAACTTTGTCCACAATACACCCAAGTACTTTACAAAAAATGCACCCACAGGCCTATGGTTATAATCTAAAATCATCTTCAAGATATGGAGATCTAATAAAGAGCACTTACCACCCTCACCCACCCTTTTCCCTCTTCACTTCAGTGACTTAAATTCAGGACCATATCCAGCTCCAAGAGGTGGCTTTAAAAAAGGTCACTCCCAGAAGACAATTCTTCCTAAAAACGACTTTGCTATTTCTAACGTAATTTGGGCAGTAAGACTTATCCTTTAATACCCAGCAATATATATATATATATATATATATATATATATATATATATATATATATATATATATATATATATTTGGTACTAGGGATCAAACTCAGGACTTTCCTCACAAGTGGAGGTAGGTGGCGGCACCATTGAGCTAAATCCCTTGCCCAATATCCAGCAATATTAACTAAAATGTACATACAGAACAATGGCAAGACAATCTGAACTCACTTAACCTCCTTCTCTGCATACTTCCCCTCGGGCACCCCATGAATAGCCAGCATACTCTTCAAGACATCAAGTTTGACAATTCCATTTTCAAAATACATCCATTCCTGTGAACTAACAAAAAATACTTAAAAGTGCATTATATTAGCCCTTGATTTCTACATGTGTGAACTTTAAACATCTAGAAAGATTAGATGTTTCCAGTGAGAACTTAAAATGTCTCATATGTATAGTGGCATTGAGTAAATTGCTTAACATGTTAAGTAATTGCACATACTTAACAAAGGCTAAATTTTAAATTATCATCTAAATAGGAGCACTCTCGTCTAGAGCTCTTTCCCCTTTCCACCTTTTTTAACCCTTGGGTCAGATATATGGATATGTAATACTTAGAGGGGGCTTTAACAATTTCACTTACTAAGTGGTTTTAAGAACATTCTTTCTAATGAATTTTAATACAAAGTGTACTCAACATGTTAGTTTACTAATTCTACTTCTGTCACACACCAGCACCCTCTTTAACATCTAGAAAGACTAGATGTAAATTAGGACTCCTTTGTCCTTTATAAACAACTATATACACAGGAAATCAAAACAAAATGCACAGACATAAGGGACAGTGGTCAATCCAACTTCACCTAAACTACATTGATTTAGAGCCCTTTGTACTTTCTTTTCCTCCTCCCTCTCTGAACTAGCACAAATATGTCTACTGCTCAGATCAATGGTTTGATCATTTCATTTCCTAAAGACAGTATTAATTTTAACAAAAGGGTATCTACAAAATATGTTGTTTACTACCTCTACTTTTAATATACTTTGTGCACTTCTAAACATCTAGAAAGACTAGATATTTCAAATGTGGACTTAAGTTTGTCCACTATATATACAGTAGTGTTGAATAAACTACATACATGTAACAATGATTATATGTGAAAGTGTCTTCTAAGTAGGAGCATTCTGGCCTAGAATCTTTCGTTTCTTTCTATTTATCCTTCCTTGTCACATGTGATAGAGGCACATGTGTCACTCAAATGTGATTTTACAATTACACTTTCAGAAATCCTTTTCAGAAGACAGCCTTTCTATGAATTTTAACACAAAATATACAAAATGTGTTAGTTTACTAACTCTATTTTTGTCATACATTGGAAACCTCTTTAATATCTAGAAACCAGATATTATAAAATTAGGACTCACGTATCCAATATATACACTATACATACAGTACAGCAAAGTTAAGTGAAATGCATGTAACATAAGAGTAATGTCAGCTGAAATTTTCTACCATACACTTAACAAAACACCTTTTAACAATTTCTTCTGTTCCACATCCCTCAACCCAGTGACCAAGTACAGACAGTATACTGTTCAGAGGTGTTTAACCATTCTATTTGCAAACATAGTATTTCCTATCAGTTTATAAAAGTTGTTTACAAAGTATTATTCCACTACTTCTACTTTTAAATATATCAAGCACTTCTACATATCTAGGACTAGATTTTTCATAAAAGAACTTGCCTGCTATCATATAGCACTGATAAATAAAATTGCACATATAGTAATGGTTGTAATCTGAGGTATCTTCTACATATGACAATTTTGACTTCACTCCTTTCTCTCTGCTTTCAACCCAGTGGACAAATACAGGAATACTTAATGTTAGAGATAGTTGAATCCACAATTCATTTACAGAGGACAAGCTTTTCTGTGTATTTCAACACAAAATGTACAAAATGTGCTAACTTTACTACTTTGTCATACACTGGCAACCTCTTTAAC